CCCCCCCCCCCCCCCCCACTTTTTCAGCGAGAAACGCGATTGCTGTCAGGGGGGTTATTTCGGGGTTTTTTCAGGGGGGGGGGGGGCAAAACCAAAACCTGGTCGGCTTGTTAAGTTGTTTATTACTTGAGGCGACATATGGATCATAGCCGCCACCCCAAGGACCCAAAAGTAAGTTGAGCTGCCCGTGGATGCACAACCATTACAATGGTCGCGCCTACACTAAAAGTACATTTAGAATTGAGGACGACCGAGTCATCAACATTCGATAGCAATTGTTTGAAAAGTACACTTAATACAGAAAAGGCTGAAGCAGATCAACTTGGCCCATTGTCAAACTACTGCTGCCTACTTATATTGCTGTTTTTAGATTATTAGCAAGCGCGAATTCATCTATCATCTTATTATGTCAGTGAAGTAAAGGCTGGGCAACAGCCCATGTTCAATGCTCATAAGCGCCACCATGATTAGCCTTTCCTGCCCCTTTTGATTATTCTCATCTTTGAGAAGTCCTGCTCGCCGGAGGCATTGGACGCCATCATGCACAGATAGATGCGCAACACAATCTCAACTTTTGGAAGTGTACGAGAAAGGATTCAACGATGTCAAAAGCATGTACATGGCAAGCTCTTTTGATTCTTTCACATACACTACTGGTTTCTGGGTGCGCTTAAATGCAGCAAACTGTATCAGCTCAGCAATAAGTGTGTCAGCTCAGCCATAAGTGTGTCAGCTCAGCCATAAATGTGTCAGCTCAGCGACCAGTGTCTTCCAAGGCACCTGGATACGAGGAAACAAGATTCTTAGCTGTTTTCTCGATCTGCTCAATGCCGGAGGACGTTAATTCCGATAGAAAAACCGATGTTTTAAAAATATCGTCATACGCGTTCATCCGCTTTTCCCATTCAATTAACAGACCGGTGATCATGACCAGATGCGTCTGAATATTGAACTTTCCCCTATAATAACGTCTGCTTCGTTTGCAGTCATTCGTCGGACATGCGCGTTCGCTTACGGCCTTATAAACTTTAAATATGTCCTTTGCAATCCGGCCTGGCACTGAATGTTATATTTGCGTCATAGCGCAAAGAACAATAGTGACTGTATAATAAGTAACGTTGTGTCTGTTCGTCAGAAAGTCGGACTCCAAATTTCATTCTAAGAAATATTTTGAGGTTTATATAGAAAAGGAAAAAAAAATATTCAGCGTTTGGAAAATTCTCGTCTGTTTTCATCTGGGCCTATTTCTGGAGTGGACCCAATGACATGTCGCAGTAGAAGCGTAGGTAGAGTGTTTGGCGCCCGGGAAAGATTCATTTTAAAGAGCCTCCCATTATTTTGTCAACTCTCAAACCCATTATTTTCATCAATAAAATAAAATAACATCAAATCACATTTTGGCGCCCCAACAAGTCTGGCGCCCAGGGACATCTGTCCACCTGCCCCCCTTAGCTACGCCTCTGTGTTGCAAAATAAATAGCATCCACTGAAACCCACTGCCTTAAACCAATGGCATATATTACTTGAAGCTTGGTGATTATAAAAATGAATTTTATTTAAATTTAACGATGTTTTAACTACTATTGATTCAATTAATGCAAGGGTTCTTAAAATATTTGTTTGCAGCTCCACATCACCTCCCCGCCCAAATTACAACACCCCCCCCCCACCCTTTTATTTTATAGGCATTTCCGCACAACATAACACTTCCTCCAGCACCCCTGGTTAATTAAGGACCTCTGGATCACAGTTTTCATTGAATTCATTGAAATGGACTTAGGAATGTTAGATTAAAAAAAATAAATATATATATGACATTCATGAGTCATTTCACGCAGGGCTGCTAAAAGTTTCTTCAAAATTTGAAATGACTTATGTGTTTTCCGTTAAGAAATTTAGGATTTCCGTAAAAAAAAAAAGAAGGGTTTGCAATAATTTTGTAGCTTTAAAATAGTTTCCGTAAATATTCAATTGATTTTCATATAATAATGTTGTTAGGGGAAAAAAAGAAAATATTTTCCGATTAAGTTACACACACGGAATCGGAAAAACAAACCATAAATAAGACGAAATTAATATTTAAAAAAACAACCAAAACCAAAACAAAAAAAAAAACAAAATGAAAAAAAAAATGTAAAAAAAAAAAATTGAAATGTAATTACACAGTTTATATCTCAGGGTGCCAGAGCTAAGGTAGGTACTTATACTGATACATCAAGTAGTTTTTGTGTGCGTTCTTACATTTTGTGCAGAGTAGCTGTGCAACTAGGATAAACAAGATGGCTGGCAACATTACCAACTACTGCAGAGTTCATTCAATCTTAAAGAGATGTTCTATTCCTCTTTACCTATTTATGCGGCCATAAGCCATATTTCAAATATTATTAGGATTAATTGTTAAAGTCTCTTATTTTCTATAAAATATTATTTATAACAACCATACTGGCGGGAAGTATTTCCAAGTCCAAAGCCAAGATGTCTGGGAATGCATCTGTTGTTGGTTATGAAGGAGAGTTAAATGCAATAATAAAGGAGGTAAATATGATCATCATATCATTAAAATTGGATTTTGCCTTAAACATTTTACTAACACCTATCTTAAGATATTAACTTCTATCATGCACTTCAACCTCAGCCCTTTTGACTTTTGAATATAATCCTTTATTAATTAATTAAAATATCTTTACTTCATTAATTTATTGATTTTATTCATTTCATAAAAGTCATAATAATTTAATTATGTTCATATTAAAACTAAATTTAAAAAATAAAAGCAACACCAACCATATCTTACAATGTCTATTCGACTCTTCATGGTGTCAATTAAACGACTGAATAATTATTTCTACTTAAAGCATTTAAGAGGTATTATCAGAAATTGTATTTTTAATTATTAATACTCATTGCTGAAGTTCTATTTCCAACTGTTCATCACCACAAGCTCAGTTTGACATTATATTTTTTTACTTAATGCTTGTGAAGTTTATGCTCGAGTAGCTATGTTCTATTAAATAGAATAAATTTCAAAAGAGCAAAGCAGTGTCAAATACACAACGATGCAATGATCCAGTTTATTATTTTCACTAAATAAAATTAATCAAATAAGTAAATTCGAATATAAAAAAACAACTGATAATAATTTTCAAAACCATAATCCGAAAACTTTTTAACAATTATCATCCTGGTTTTTAAAGTGGCTGTCTCCTCACCCCCCTCAAAAATTGTAGGAATTTTTTTAAATGAACTACTTAAACAGAACCTTTTTATTTTCATATTTATTACTACTTAAACTACAGTACCTGGACTTCAGTGGCTTTGATAAAACAAAGGTCACTTTTGAAGATGAATGTAAGGAAAAGAGAAAACCCATATCAGAACCAGAAAATCCAGCTTTTGGATCAGAAAAAATGCACATGGCTCAGGTAAGTTGAACGGGGATTATTTGTCGAAAACCCTGAAAATAACACATGTTTTGGATGCAAACAAAATCTCTCATTCAGAAAAATTGGTTATGTTGAAAATTCTTATTGAAAACTCATTTGTTTCATTGTGCTGAAAGATGCTGGGAGAGAGTTTTTTTCTATATCATACAACCAACTGTTACTTGTATTAACTTAAATTTTTTTTTTTTTTTGCCATAGAAAAAAACTCACAATGGTAATGAGTTTTAAAAACATTTGTTGCCATGAGCAAACGTTACTGTAATAGGCCATTCTCAATGCATAAACTTACTTACTTTCTCATGCCTTTTACCCCAACTAGTTTTCCTGGTACCCCCATAATGTCAGAGAAGTTTCCTCAAGGTTCGCTGGTTCAGGCTAAAAAAGGCCTTTTTATAGTCAATTTATTTAGATATAGGGGGAGTTCCATTCAACAGACTGTTTTACAATGATCTAAAAAATCTATACATAAACACTTAACAGTCAGAGAACGTTTTTTAAGGCTTCAAAACACTTGAAGCTTATTTAAAAAGAAGGGAATATAATATATAAAAGTTATTTTTTTCCCCCATGGTTTTTGGGGTCTGAGTACAGGGATTTGACTTTTAAGAAGCTTAGCATGTATTTAATAAATTAAAAAAGATAGTTTTTACATAACTGTTTCATCAATTAACTATTGCAGACTCAGATGCTAGAATTCTACCATGAAGGAAAAGGCGATCTGTTTTTTAAGCTTTGGAGAGAATACTTGCCTCCCACTGTAAAGGATGAAGACAGTGTATCTCAAAAGTTGGAGTTTTACCTCAATATATATTTTGCAATATATCCAATAAAGTACAGCCAGCCACAGGTATTTGTAAAAAAAAAATAAAAAAAAATCAAGTTAAAAATATGTTATCAAGATTTTTACTTTTTGATTTTTGCAAACATAAGATAAATATAAGTTTAATATTATTGGCTGAATTTTTGTTTACAATTAAATCTTAATAAAATTATTTGGACTTAAATATGTCTTGCTTTTAAATAATAAAGAAAAAAAATTAAACCCACTAAGTAAGGATGTTGAGCATTTGGTTAAGTTTCAGGTAGTTATCACTCATATCAGAAGTTATGATCTATCTATCTATCTATCTATATATGATCAGCTATCTATTTCTTAAACTATTCCCTTCTCTCTCCTAAACTGAAATATATTGGAGCTGCATAAGATAATTAATTGTCATTAAATATAAAAAGTGTAAAATGGATGTTTGTCATAACTCTGATTGAGTGTAAGGCACCCATATAAGGTAGTTTAAAGCCTTTCATTACACTTAAAATGAGCTATGTCACATTCTTGAGCTGTTTATAGTTTTTGATATCCCTTTTAGATAATTTCTGTAGGATGCACTAATCCTGTAATTTGGTACACATCTTAGTCTTGTACAATATTTAACCGTGCAAAACTAGGCTAATCTTTGATTTATTAATTTTGAAATTTTGAGATGCAGTTAAATTTGGCAAAATGTTGCACGAAGAAGGAATACAGGAATACATTATATATTTATCATGAGATTCTGTGGCCATAGTAGTACAATCATTAAGGCACTAGGCTGGCATGGTTAAGGCCAGATTCTGTGGCCATAGTAGTACAATCTTTAAGGCATTAGGGTGGCATGGTTAAGGCCAGATTCTGTGGCCATAGTAGTACAATCATTAAGGCATTAGGCTCGCATGGTTAAGGCCAGATTCTGTGGCCATAGTAGTACAATCATTAAGGCACTAGGCTGGCATGGTTAAGGCCAGATTCTGTGGCCATAGTAGTACAATCATTAAGGCATTAGGGTGGCATGGTTAAGGCCAGATTCTGTGGCCATAGTAGTACAATCATTAAGGCACTAGGCTGGCATGGTTAAGGCCAGATTCTGTGGCCATAGTAGTACAATCATTAAGGCATTAGGCAATGGGGTATCCAAATTTTTTTTCTTAAGTAGTGAGAACAGTGTGACTGAATTTTCTTAAATTTGAAGACAACGCTTATTGTAAAAAAAATATGTGAAAGGTTTTGACCCAAATACAATATTCTCTTTTTACTATCTTTGCTTTTAAATCTCAGATAGTTATAGTTTTCTGTGGAATAATTTATACCCGTAGACTATGACAGTCTTACCCAAAGGTTTGTTTATAAGAAATTATGTTTATTATTTTCTTTACGAGTCAGAGAAGAAAACTGTAACAAATTCATTTTATGCGTAAAATAATTTTAAAAAGAAAGAAAAAAAGTGTCATATTTTTCCTTCTATCTTTTTTTGTCATTCTTATTTTGCACTATTTTTATCTTCATTACAGAAAGATGCAGAGGAAGCCATGTCAACTTTCAAAAAGTACATTGAAAACAGAGGCTCATCACTTAGTCAAACTACAGAATTCTTACCTTTTTATGCTCTGCCCTTTGTACAACATCCTAAAACACACCCTTCATACAAGGAACTCTTTGCAGTATGTGAAAACCAAATATTTTAACCTCTTCCTATTCATTAGTGCCGTACATGTTTATTAAAATGTATCAGCTTAATTTCATATTAATTTTTTTTGTACCAGACCAAAGAATAAATCAGAATTTCTTAAAGGAGATTAAATAATATGTTACAGCACCAGAGAGTATGGGGCTGTTTAATAGTCAGAGTTATCTTGTTAAAGTAAGACAGATTTATCTAGTCCATTTTAATACTACTGAAATTTATGAACAACATCAACAACTGTTTTTTTAAAAATATTTTCTATACAGGAAAATTGGAGTGCTGATCTTAAGTTGAAAGTAGATAAATTTTTGTCATTGGCATTAAAGTCTACACAACATCCAAGATTATATGAAATATATGTATCCTCTTATGGCATAATCAATCAATATATAGTGTTCTTTTTATCTATCTATCTTATTTTATCTAGGTATTATATATATATATATCAATATATATCTATATATACATATATATATATTCAAATTTAGTTTGTTTGTGGTTCTATTTGTTGTTCATAGGCTGCTACTTGGAGTGATGGATTTGGATCAAACTTAGTTCTTATAAAGAAACTGAAATATAGACACGGGTTGTGCTGAAAATAATGGCAATGGCTCTGGCATAGTTGAACCAATTTTGTTCTAACGACTTTTAAATAGCCGTTATTTCAATCAGAACTGAATGAACTTCATACAAATTAGCAAATGAATACTAGATAAAACTTCTAGAATTTCCTTAACCAAAGTTTTCAGAGAGGTTCCAGTACAGATGGCAAAAGTGAGTACATTAAGATAGGTCACAGAATTGAAATGGATAATAAGGGTGTTGGTGGTGCTGCGATCAGGCTAGGTTAATATGAAATAAATACACAAGGTAGGGTAAAACCATAAAAAGGACACAACTAAACAGCAGACGTATTGGCAGAAAGCCTTCTTTAGCTAACAAATAGTAGTGAACAACAAAATAAACTAAACTAAAATCAAATATCTGACGCTGTGAGAGTTTGAGAAAAATCCATGAAATGGTATTGAAAAAACTTCTATTTAAACAGACAGAATGTAACAACAGTACAGCCATGTATAAAGAAATTGGAAGTACATGAGGATTGGGTGTAACCAAGAAATGGGGTGGAGTAAGTTTTAGCAAGTAAATGAGAATACAGTTGTCCCTCGCCACTTCGCACTTTGCCTTTCACGGGGATCTCTCTCTTATGGCATTAAAATAAAAAAAATAATAAAATGTATTCATTAAAGAATTGATAGAGATAGTGAAAATGCTACAGCATGCTCTCGGCTGTCTGATTCAGTTATACACCCCTGTATTACAATTACAATTAAAGAATTGATAGAGATAGTGAAAATGCTACAGCATGCTCTCGGCTGTCTGATTCAGTTATACACCCCTGTATTACAATTACAATTAAAGAATTGATAGAGATAGTGAAAATGCTACAGCATGCTCTCGGCTGTCTGATTCAGTTATACACCCCTGTATTACAATTACAATTAAAGAATTGATAGAGATAGTGAAAATGCTACAGCATGCTCTCGGCTGTCTGATTCAGTTATACACCCCTGTATTACAATTACAATTAAAGAATTGATAGAGATAGTGAAAATGGTACAGCATGCTCTTGGCTGTCTGATTCAGTTATACACCCCTGTATTACAATTAAAATTAAAGAATTGATAGAGATAGTGAAAATGGTACAGCATGCTCTTGGCTGTCTGATTCAGTTATACACCCCTGTATTACAATTACAATTATTGTAAGTATGTACTGTAGGTCTATGTAATCGAGCACCCCTGTATTACAATTAAAATTATTGTAAGTATGTACTGTAGGTCTATGTAATCGAGCACCCCTGTATTACAATTAAAATTATTGTAAGTATGTACTGTAGGTCTATGTAATCGAGCACCCCTGTATTACAATTAAAATTATTGTAAGTATGTACTGTAGGTCTATGTAATCGAGCACCCCTGTATTACAATTAAAATTATTGTAAGTATGTACTGTAGGTCTATGTAATCGAGCACCCCTGTATTACAATTAAAATTATTGTAAGTATGTACTGTAGGTCTATGTAATCGAGCACCCCCCCAGAGGGTTTCATAATGTTAGAACCGTATTTAGATGGGTGTGAACAGGTGTTCTGTGCTCTAACTACAAAAATATTTGATTTATAAATAATGAATCTTACTTTGCGGAAATTTACTTATCACGGTAGAGTCTGGAGCCGATTAACCGCTATCAACGAGGGATGACTGTATAACATTCGGGGCACTTGTATATTAGTTTATTCACCAGACCCACCCTGGTGGTTAATTAAAATGAAAAATTATTAGAGTTTTTTGTTGCTTGAGTTCTTTGTGTTTTTTGTTGTTGTAAAAATCATCATTTCTTTATCAATTCTGTCATGGTAAGTAATGGAAAGTTGAAAGGGTTAGCCTGCTGCTAATATTCTGCTTAGATATTTCAATTTGATTCTAAAATTTACTCATTAAAATATGCAAAACATGGGATAAAAACTTATTTAAAAATCTGTTCTTTTAAAAAAATGTTTAGATTTAAGCCAACAGTTGGCACTGATGAGCAACCAGGTCATTGAGGCTGAGAAGAAAGCCACATCATATTTGAAAAGACATTCTAAAGTTCAGGTAACTATTGTTATGGCTGGTATGTGGGTCAAATAGGAAGCTGGATATCTTCTTTCAGATATCATCAAATTTAACTGATTAATCTAGTGTTTTCTTTAAGCTTATTAAGATTCTTTTATTGATCCACATAAATTGGAAATTTTTAAAAATTGCATTGTGCATATTCATTTCAGGTACATAAAAAAATACATATTTAAACAAGAAAAGATTTTACAATTTAAACAATTTAAACAAAAGACATCTGAAGTATTTATTTCTCTAGTTGAAAAAATAAGCCACCAGATAACAAAAAAATAAAAATGATCTCCCTTATTGACAATAATGAGCTGATTAGTGATCATTTAGATTTGGTACTCATTGGGGAGCACACGGTTAAATAACTGGTGAACAAAAGAATTTTTATATCTTTCGCTTCTAGCTATGAGGGAAAAAAATTCACCCTGATTGTGCTGATCTTAGGTATCTCTGATGTAGTGGGTGGGATGTGATCTTAGGTATCTGTGATATTGAGCTGATCTTAGGTATCTCTGATGTAGTGGGTGGGATATGATCTTAGGTATCTTTAATGAAGTGGGTGGGATGTGATCTTAGGTATCTGAGATGAAGAGAGTGGGATCATCTAGAATTAATTTGTTGAGTTCTTCATCAGCATGTTTCTTCAAATAGTTCTTCATGTGAAGTATGATTAGTTTGTGTTATTACTAGCTTTTTTATATTATTGCTGCTTCATGGAGCATTCATTAATATAGTGACAAGAAATCTACTTTTTTCAACCCAAATTTATTGCAGTCATTGACAATCAATTTTTGCCATGGCACAATGAATGAGTTTAAATGATTGTTGTAATATTGCAAGTTAAGGGAGATGTAAATCATGGTTCCTGCTCATGGACTTCAGATGTTATCTGATTGAAATTTGCTGATAAGAGAATGATACAAATTTAAACGTTTTATCACAGGCAGATGTTTCCTTGCAGCACTAGCAAATTATGGCTGATGTCTAGTCACAAAACGTAAAAGGCAACCATTCATACCCTGGGGTGGGAAAGGGGTAAACCAAATATATCCATTCCAAACACTATAGATGTTCACATGGGCTGTGGTGCCTAGATGTAAACGTAGGCTGTGGTGCCTAGATGTAAATGTAGGCTGTGGTGTCTGGTTTTGAGAGGGGTGGGGGAGGGAGTTGGTTTGCTTCTCATGTGTAATTTTAAGGGGGCCGAAGCCCTGAGTTAGCTTTGTGTCATACTGCTTTATGTTGTTGTGAGCCATAAAAGGCTGAGTACAGTGATGAGGATGAGGCTGGGGCCTCTGTCCACAGTTATTGGATTACAGATGTATAGTATTTAGTATTTATTGTCTGCCACTTTGAAATACTTCAGGGGCAGTTAAAGCTTTATCTGAATTGTATTTTTTTTCAACAAGGATAGAGTCTACATAAAAAAAAAATTAAAATATAAGTCCAACTTTCTGTTCGTGTTAAGATGACAAGTAGAGAGTTATTCTCTATTCATGGCTGCACTGTTGTTAAATGCAGTCTCTTTAGATGAAAGTTTTCCACAATTAATTTTTTTTGCTGCTAATATAAAATTTCCTTTACAAATTTTTGCATAAATTATTTTGTAAATGAAGCCTCCACATAATTTTGATAGGTTAAAAAGGTCCCTTTAGATTCAGATGTGTATCAAATTTGAACTATTTAGCTTTCTGCAAACCAGAAATAGAAGCTTTTCAATGAAATGTTCAAACCAAACTATAAATATCATAGTTTATATCAGTGCATGAAAAAAAATTCAATTTTAATAATTGTTACAAAAAGAAATTAAAATGACATTCATCATTTAGATTTGATTCAGTTTCATATTGTGCAAGATGCCAGAATCAGCCTCATCAGCCATTTTTGTACCCACAGCCAAGTTCACAATTAGCATATATGATGCTTAAAGTGGTCATAGTTAATTTTGACTGACAAACTATATATGTATATATATATTCAGTTTCATATACTTTTAAATACATAACCATTAAACTTAGAACTAGACATTAATGCTTCTCCACATTAAAAATATTGCGTTTTTTTTTAACCTCAACAATTTAAAACTGCTTTCAGTCAGACTACCACAATCTGATTGGCATTACAGCTGATCTTGTTGACGCTCTTGAGTCCACAGTACAAGGCAGGCCTGTAAGCAGTTATTATAAATCCTTCATCATTTAATCTAAACGTTTTATTAATTTTTTTTTTTTTACTCAGTCCAAACAATGTGATGTAACATAAATTGTCTGATTGATACTATCCCTAAATTTAAATTTTCTATAAGTAAAGGGAGATCATATTTCAAAGGGCAATCAAAATGTGCACCAATAGTACAAATATTTTATCACAAACTCTTTATGACTCGTGAAGGATTGAAAGATATTAAATTAAATAATTTGTGCATCCTGATTGGCCTCGGATTAGGAGGGTCTGTTTATAGACTTTGGAAGGGTTTTTTTTTTTTTAGACATTGGAAGGGTTTATTCTAGACTGATAACTCTTAAGGATTAAATTTAGAAGTTGTGGAATTAAACCATTACTAACTTTACAAGTGTACAGGGGGACTATATAGCCAAAAAAAGACAAATCATTCTATATTTAGATTGTTTTCCTTTTTACACTATTATTTTCTTCAATTATTTATTCTTGTGTTAAAAATAAAATAAATATCTCAAACTAAATACATAATAGGACACTGCAAACTGCTGGAAAGGGCTGGCATTTGGTTTTCTAATGACCCCAGGATTTATCTTTCTATCTCTTATAGAAGAAAGGTTGATTTTTTTTTTTTAATGGCCTTATTCAAGCCATGTGATGCAGCATTATTATTAGTCTCATTAAGCCCATAATCTTTCTTTAAAATTCAGTTTGTCACCATCTTGATTTTTTTTAAGAGATGCAGCAATCAAATTATGAGGAGACCCTAACAAAACAAAGTTGAACACCAAAAAAACCACAACAAAAAAAAACAATTTTGAATTAATTTTATTTTCTCTTAAATTAAAAATTAATCTGTTCACATAAAGATATGTTGTGGTTGGTATTGACATTTGTCAAAACCAATACTTTTTCAAATCAAAATAAAATAGCATAAAGATTCAATTATTTAAGATATTGGAATAAAATATTCCATAGTAAGAGATAGTTTCCAGGTGAAATTAAAGAAATTTCTATTAACTATTATTTCCCATCAAAATAAATCATCTCCGAAATTTACGAAAATCTACTGTGGCCAACATATGTACAATTAATATTAAATACTTAATTTTTAAAACTAAAAACAAAATAATTTTCAAAGTAACAGATAGTATCCAGTTGAAATTAAAAATATTTTATTCATTATTATTTTCCATTAAAATAATTAAACTCCACATTTTAAAAACAAATTTGATGAAAAGCCACTGCTGCCGCTATATTGGTACATTTAAATACTTCATTTTAAACTAATAAAGCTATTATAATAAAATTGTACACAGTAAAGATAGTGTCCAGCTGAAAGTAAAGAAATGTTATTTATTATTCCACTCGCCAGATTTCAAATACTTATAAAACTGTTGCTTTCATTTTGCGTGAACCCATCTTTGTAGTTCTTTGTAGTTGTCAGTAAATAACGATAACTCTGGGGGTCAGGGGAAGTAATAACCCCAGTTGCAGTGTCCTATATTAGTATGTATCTGAACTGACTTTGATCATTGGGGACCCCTACCATAGATTGAATAAGTATAAAGTTGATTTAAGTCATCAATGGCAGCCTGTTTAACCTTGGCGTTTCATTATCTTCAGGTGGATGTGGGAGTGAGTACTTATAACATACTGTCTAGTTGATGTGAACGTAGTATTTTGTAATGTACATCATAGTACATATTTTGAAGGAAACTGTTGTTAGATTAAACAAAAAGAAAATAATTCAAATACATCTTTTCTCTTTGCACCTAACCAAGTAGAGTTTGATTTCAGGTCAGAGGCAGAAGTAAATTATTAGCTTTTCTTAAGTGTCAATAGTTACAAAAAGAGGGGGGTGAAGGTGGGGTTTCAATCTGGATGATGTAAGCTTAAATTTCTGCTTGATTCACACTGTTAGTTATTAAGACTGAAAGAAATTTATGTTCAATGTCTTATAATGATACTTAGTGCTGATAATAATAATAATATATTTATTCCTTATAATGATATCATTTTGTATTGGAAGAGAATTGTGACTGCGTAATTCTGTGTAACTTTTGCAAGGGTATATTTCCATTGCTTGTGTCAAACATCACAGGAGATTTAATTCCTTTACTGGCTTTAATCGTTTACTTAATGTCAAATGATGAGGACTAAAGTTCTTACCTCTGGATTAAAGATTATGAAGGTTTTTACCCCACCCAATACGTGTATTAAGCTATGTGGAAGTGCATGAAGTTTTTACCCCACCCAATTCTCGCATTAAGCTACATGTAAATTATTATGTATCAATAACTGGAAAGCAAGCCATATAACAAACATGATTAGGAGCTACCACCCATTGGAGTGCTTGCATTGTCTGACATAGCCCCAGGGGTAAAAAATGCAATACTAATTTAAAAAGGAAAATACCCATATATCTTTTTAAACTGGTGAGTGACTAGGAGACAAATTGATTAATTCTTTAGTTGTAAATCATTGTAATTATATGAACACATAGTTTTTTTTTCTTCATTATTCACACGTTATCTTTTCACACTTGAATATAATTTTTTTTCCTAAAATTCCTATCTAAACGTTTTTTATCTTCTTGTTGCTTCTGCATGATTAGGTGAAACATAATTGTATTTCATGTGACTAAATTGTTGATTTACTAATACTAGAGCCAGTGTTATATATTATTCTTTTTATATAATATACTTTTTTTTTATAACTTGCCTTTTATTTTAAAAAATGCCTGGTATTTAAAAAAGGAGGAAAAAAATGGCTATAGATTCTAGAGTTATAACTAAGGAGTAAATATTTTGTTGTCATTGTTGTTATACACATTGCTAATTGAGCTTGATGGGTGTTGTTGACAGTGTTCGAGAATAAGTGATGATGTCAAGCATTAAAAGGTTGACAATGTTAAAACAATGTGCTAGGATTAGTACTCTATTAGTGAAATGGACGGTGAACTTGGTTACACACAAGTTTACATTACTCATTGAGAATACTTTGTGGTATTGATGAAGAGTCAAAATCACAGAGACTGTTCATTTAGGCAAGTGTCGAATAAAGAAATTGGAATTTTAGGCATAAGTTAGATTCAGAGTAAATGGGCTTTTAAGCTAAAGTTAGAATCATAAAAATTAAATGCTTAAAAAAAAACAATTTAAGATTTTGTTTTCACTTTATTTTTGTCTGCAAGAGTAGTGGGCCCTGCATGACATCATGTTCTAGTAATGGCAAAAGTGGGTTATTTTTAATTGTTATACTTAAATGTTATTATGTATAAATCAACAGAAGCAAAATTGTATGTCATCTGTCAAATATATTCATATCCTTAGAATCATCTCTTTCTTTATATATATATATATATTTGTAACTTTAAAAATACACAAAAAGTATGTCTGTCCTGATTAGCTGTCTGCTTCCATTTCACATAGATAAACAGTGTTGTAGAACACATGTAGATTCAATCCCTTTCATCAGCATTTCAAATGACATCATGAAAGCTCTTAATGCATTGGTCAAACAAATGACATTTAAAACTGGTGCAAGAAATATTATTCTAACCTCAGTTAGACAAAATCCTCGAGTCTTTTTGGCTCTGGAGTCCAAGGAAATTTTAAGAATATGGATAGAGCAATACACATTATTAAAATAAGGAGTGTTGAGTGGACATCAGACTTGATTTCAAATGACCAGTTTTCTCTATAAAATATTGAACAGCAACAAATAAATTTGCTTTGCGTCATATTTACAAAACTATTAATTGATAAAATGTTCCTTATATATATATCTCTGTCTGTGTATCCAGGCATAAATGCGTTTTCTGTATTGATTTCAGATTACACCAGAGTACTTACAGCAGCTCTGCAATAGATTATTCACATCTCACATGAGGTCATCTGTGGATTTGACCAGACCTGGGACAGCAGGAGAGGCCCTTAGAGCATCAGCAGTTCCAGTTCCCAACCCGTATGTTACAGTGCACTGAGTTTATGTTTATTTACTAATGAAATGTCTGTGTTTAATATTTAGGGTAATAATATACGGGGACAGTGTTTCAAGTGGGGACAGTGTTTAAAGTGGGAAAGTGTTTAAAGTGGGGCAGTGTTTGAAGTGGGCAAAAATTGGAAATGAAATGTAAAAAAATTAAAAATGGTTTTGATTTATCCCAGTAGTTGAGAGAGAAAATGTGAAATAAATGTGCTTTTTTAGGAAATGTCCCCAAACCAAATGCCAGGAAACCAAATGTTACCAAACCAAATGCCACCAAACCAAATGTCAACAAACCAAATGCCACCAAACCAAATGTTACCAAACCAAATGTCCCCAAACCAAATGCCACCAAACCAAATTTTACCAAACCAAATGCCACCAAACAAAATGCCACGAAACCAAATTTTACCAAACCAGTGATAGGATATAATACCAACCAGTGATGTGGTGTCCGCCCAGTGGCTTCACTGCATCCTGATGAACGAATATTCATGGTCAAGAAGAAGATATGTAATAATATACTTTTTAAATAAATTATTTTGTTTTCCTCATAGAAATAAATAGAAAATGCTCAAATATTTTCACCTCATCTGCACAGACTCCCCATCGCTGAGCCTGAAGAAAATTATCCTCCTTTAGACTTTAACCAAATCAAAACTCAAATAACAGAATCTTTGGATAGAAAGAAGGCTTTGATCCTTCAAGCCTTGAGATGGGTAGGTTGAAAAATACTTTCAGAAAGTATGCTATGGAAAAAATTGAGATGTTAAGGTTGAAACAATACTTTCAGAAAGTATGCTATGGAAAAAATTGAGATGGTTAGGTTGAAACAATACTTTCAGAAAGTATGCTGTGGAAAAAATTGGATCAGTTTATTTTGTGTCGCTATGAAATATGTTTAAAGAGATTGAAATTTTTTACTCTTATGTTATAAGGTAATTAATATTTATTTATAAAATAAATGATTGATTTTGTGACCTATTTTTCAAGCGTTTGACCAGAACACGGGCCGCCCAAAGAGACCAGATACTGATCGCTTACATTCAGAATGATATTCTGGGATGCAGCAACCCTGGACCATATAGAGTGAGGACAATAAAGCAATAAATAAAAAGATAGAGAAAAATTAAAGACTCTCCTCTCTCCCTTTTCAGGACAACTAATTCAAAGAAAAGTTGAAATATTATATATATTTTAAAAATCTTAAATTTATAATTTAAAAAAAGAAGAAAAACTACAAAACTTTTTTAAATTTACAATATTTTTCCTTTCCAGGAGACGATCATGAATCTTTTATTAAATAGCTCAGATGTTGTCAAACAGTACTTGGCCAGATTTTACAATGCATGTGCCTCATTGTGCAATGGTAAGTCTTTTTACCATTTCTGAAAAGCAGTGAAAGGTGGTATTGCTACATAGCTTGGAATTAACATTACTGAACAGCAGTGCAGTAAAAGGTGGTATTGCTACATAGCTTGGAATTGACATTACTGAACAGTAGTGAAAGGTGGTATTGCTACATAGCTTGGAATTGACATTACTGAACAGTAGTGAAAGGTGGTATTGCTACATAGCTTGGAATTGACATTAGTGAACAGCAGTGAAAGGTGGTATTGCTATATAGCTTGGAATTAACATTACTGAACAGCAGTGAAAGGTGGTATTGCTACATAGCTTGGAATTGACATTACTGAACAGCAGTGAAAGGTGGTATTGCTACATAGCTTGGAATTAAAATTACTGAACAGCAGTGAAAGGTGGTATTGCTACATAGCTTGGAATTAACATTACTGAACAGCAGTGAAAGGTGGTATTGCTACATAGCTTGGAATTGACATTACTGAACAGCAGTGAAAGATGGTATTGCTACATAGCTTGGAATTAACATTACTGAACAGCAGTGAAAGGTGGTATTGCAACATAGCTTGGAATTGACATTACTGAACAGCATTGAAAGGTGATATTGCTACATAGCTTGGAATTAACATTACTGAACAGCAGTGAAAGGTGGTATTGCTACATAGCTTGGAATTAACATTACTGAACAGCAGTGAAAGGTGGTATTGCTACATAGCTTGGAATTGACATTACTGAACAGCAGTGAACTGAAAGGTGGTATTGCTACATAGCTTGGAATTAACATTACTGAACAGCAGTGAAAGGTTGTATTGCTACATAGCTTGGAATTGACATTACCGAACAGCAGTGAAAGGTGGTATTGCTACATAGCTTGGAATTGACATTACCGAACAACAGTGAAAGGTGGTATTGCTACATAGCTTGGAATTGACATTACTGAACAGCAGTGAAAGGTGGTATTGCTACATAGCTTGGAATTGACATTACTGAACAGCAGTGAAAGGTGGTATTGCTACATAGCTTGGAATTGACATTACTGTACAGCAGTGAACTGAAAGGTGGTATTGCTACATAGCTTGGAATTAACATTACTGAACAGCAGTGAAAGGTGGTATTGCTACATAGCTTGGAATCAACATTACTGAACAGCAGTGAAAGGTGGTATTGCTAAATAGCTTGGAATTGACATTACTGAACAGCAGTGAAAGGTGGTATTGCTACATAGCTTGGAAGTAACATTACTGAACAGCAGTGAAAGGTGGTATTGCTACATAGCTTGGAATTGACATTACTGAACAGCAGTGAAAGATGGTATTGCTACATAGCTTGGAATTAACATTACTGAACAGCAGTGAAAGGTGGTATTGCTACATAGCTAGGAATTAACATTACTGAACAGCAGTGAAAGGTGGTATTGCTACATAGCTTGGAATTAACATTACTGAACAGCAGTGAAAGGTGGTATTGCTACATAGCTTGGAATTGACATTACTGTACAGCAGTGAACTGAAAGGTGGTATTGCTACATAGCTTGGAATTAACATTACTGAACAGCAGTGAAAGGTGGTATTGCTACATAGCTTGGAATCAACATTACTGAACAGCAGTGAAAGGTGGTATTGCTACATAGCTTGGAATTGACATTACTGAACAGCAGTGAAAGGTGGTATTGCTACATAGCTTGGAATTGACATTACTGAACAGCAGTGAAAGGTGGTATTGCTACATAGCTTGGAAGTAACATTACTGAACAGCAGTGAAAGGTGGTATTGCTACATAGCTTGGAAGTAACATTACTGAACAGCAGTGAAAGGTGGTATTGCTACATAGCTTGGAATTGACATGACTGAACAGCAGTGAAAGGTGGTATTGCTACATAGCTTGGAATTGACATTACTGAACAGCAGTGAACTGAAAGGTGGTATTGCTACATAGCTTGGAATTAACATTACTGAACAGCAGTGAAAGGTGGTATTGCTACATAGCTTGGAATCAACATTACTGAACAGCAGTGAAAGGTGGTATTGCTACATAGCTTGGAATTGACATTACTGTACAGCAGTGAACTGAAAGGTGGTATTGCTACATAGCTTGGAATTAACATTACTGAACAGCAGTGAAAGGTGGTATTGCTACATAGCTTGGAATTGACATTACTGAACAGCAGTGAAAGGTGGTATTGCTACATAGCTTGGAATTGACATTACTGTACAGCAGTGAACTGAAAGGTGGTATTGCTACATAGCTTGGAATTAACATTACTGAACAGCAGTGAAAGGTGGTATTGCTACATAGCTTGGAATTAACATTACTGAACAGCAGTGAAAGGTGGTATTGCTACATAGCTTGGAATTGACATTACTGAACAGCAGTGAAAGGTGGTATTGCTACATAGCTTGGAATTGACATTACTGAACAGCAGTGAAAGGTGGTATTGCTACATAGCTTGGAAGTAACATTACTGAACAGCAGTGAAAGGTGGTATTGCTACATAGCTTGGAAGTAACATTACTGAACAGCAGTGAAAGGTGGTATTGCTACATAGCTTGGAATTGACATGACTGAACAGCAGTGAAAGGTGGTATTGCTACATAGCTTGGAATTGACATTACTGAACAGCAGTGAACTGAAAGGTGGTATTGCTACATAGCTTGGAATTAACATTACTGAACAGCAGTGAACTGAAAGGTGGTATGGCTATATAGCTTGGCATTAGCATTACTGAACAGCTTATGATAAGGCATCTTTCCATAAGGAAGATGTGTAATTTTTCAATTTAAACAAAAAAAATAAATTAATAAATGAATTCTTCTGTCTAGAATTATTTTTTAAAAAAAAATCTTTTTAACGCGACATGAAGCAGGATTCAGATTACACATGGAGAAGAAAGGATGCCAATCTCAACATTGTCAGATCTGTTTTAAGTTAAGCTTTAAGCAAGGCAGAAGTTTTATGCCTACAATCAATTAAATCACTTTTGAGTTGATTCTTTTGCCTCATGTTTTTATGATGGGATCGCTATTACCGTGCGACTTCCACAAAATTTTAAACTTGTTTTTGCTTCATTTTAAGGAAGAGGTTACCTTGCCACCAATCCTGACTTACTGCCAGCTTTAATGGACATCCTGAGGGGAGAGGTCAAGGATCAGATGGCACAGGAAATGGTTCTTGGTGCATTGCAGAAACTCAGTTTAAGGTGAGCTGAGACTGGCAATCATTGCATCCTGCATTTGTGTTTTAATTTTAAAAAAAAAACCAATATAAAGATTTTATGCATTTTTGTCTCATTTATGTAGTTGTACGTGATTTATCATTTATTAAGAAGCGGCCACGTAAATGGGTAAACTTCTGGCAAAAACAAGTTTCATATTTCCTTCATTTTACCTTTCAAAAAATACATTTTATGTTTACTCCATACCCAAATAAATCACAAAAACTAAGCACTTAGCAACAGCTGCACAATTAATGTCCACACCACAACACACACCTAATGAACAAATCACATTTCATTCATCTTCCCCTTGAAAAACAGGAAAAACTGATTTTTGGGGTTGGGATTGGGGGGGGGGGGTACTGAAAATTTGATAGAATCTGTTGTCATTGGCAAGGAGTCTATAAGTGCCAAGTTTCATCCATACAATGATTGGAAATGGGTCAATTAGCCTTCCAAAGATTTTTATTTCATTCATCTTCCCCTTGAAAAACAGGAAAAACTGATTTTTGGGGTTGGGATTGGGGGGGGGGGTACTGAAAATTTGATAGAATCTGTTGTCATTGGCAAGGAGTCTATAAGTGCCAAGTTTCATCCATACAATGATTGGAAATGGGTCAATTAGCCTTCCAAAGATTTTTCCACAAACACACAAACAAAAGCGAAGTTAATTTAATGGATTTAAAAATAAATGTTATTTTATATTGCAATAAAAACTGTAAGCATAAAGCTTAAGAATCGGCTTCTCTGCCAGCCGCGACATATTGCAAATTTTTAAGCACAGAATGTTTTCTTAACACATTTTTTGTATCCTAACACCCCCTTTCTTATAATTTTAGCCACCCCCAAACTTTTCAGTTTAAACTTTACTTTGTTGTGTATTTAATTTTTAATGCAAATTTGCAAATTCCTTTCCACCATGGCCACTCAGACGCCAACTCCAGTCAGCCATGATAGACAGAGGAGTGATGGAGTGGCTTGTTGGTTTGCTGGAGGACAGTGACTCACTATCTGACTACACACTGGAGTACTCAGTGGCACTACTCATGAACTTGTGCCTTAGGACAGCAGGTCAGTACATCTAGCGAGTCTTAGGACAGCAGGTCAGTACATCTAGCGAGTCTTAGGACAGCAGGTCAGTACATCTGGGGAGTCTTAGGACAGCAGGTCAGTACATCTGGGGAGTCTTTCAGTTCATCTGGGGGGTCTTAGGACAGCAGGTCAGTACATCTGGGGAGTCTTCTTATGACATAAGAAACTCAGGTTAGGGGAAAACTCAAAAGAATATAAGAAAAAGGACTTCTTGAGCAAAGTCACAGCAAGACAAAACAAAATAAACTTGCTATCTGAAAGGTATTATTTGAAAACAATATACATTTTTTATGAATCTGAAGCCATGTTTTTAATGCTGAATTAAAAAATTTACCAACTAATATTTACCAGCAACTGTGTTCTTTAATAAGCACCTAAATTGTATTTACCTTAAAAACCAACCTTTACTAATGTCAATTCTTGAATAAGTCCAGCTAAACTGTCAATGCCTTGCATTCGATCACCCTTATATTTAATCAATAAATTCGATTGCTGATGATGTTCCCTAAGACAAAATACACAACTGCAAATTTTTATTTTATTTAACTGCTTAATTTGGCCTATTTACATATAGAATTGTAATGATACAAAAATACTCTTCAATTTCAGGCAAGAAAAGGTGCACTGGAAAAGCTCATCAGACGCTGAAAGTTTTAAGTGATCTCCTAGGCCATGAAAACACAGAGGTGATCTAAATATAACTTCTTTAAACATGGAGAGTGTTGTCATCTGCGTGGTACTTGTCTTAATGCTCCATGCCAAAGCCTCAGTCTGTATGTTGTTTTATCGGATGTCCTGTCATCAATTGTCATCAGCCTGTATGTAGTTTTATTTTGATGTCCTTTCATATCATGTAAATGAAAATTTGAGGAGTAGGTGCACTTGTTGATTTTTAGAGGCTTTAAGGCAGCAATTCAGTCAGTACATGGGGATTTGTTAGGACAGCAGGTCAGTGCATGGGGATTTTTTAGGACAGCAGGTCAGTGCATGGGGATTTGTTAGGACAGCAGGTCAGTGCATGGGGATTTGTTAGGACAGCAGGTCAGTGCATGGGGATTTGTTAGGACAGCAGATCAGTGCATGGGGAATTCTTAGGATGGCAGGTCAGTGCATGGGGGTTTATGAGTCCATCAGGTTAATATAAATGATGATTTCTTAGGACAGCAGATCGGTAATGGGTATTTATTAGGACAGCAGGTCAGTGGAAATTATGCATGTAATGTAATATTTTGATTTAGGAGAGGCTTTCTGCTTACCGCATATCATGAAGTGCTTATGATGACATTTTTTTTAATAATAATTTTCTTTTTACTTGCAGTGTCTTCTTGTCAACTGAACCTTAATAGATAATAGAAAGATTTTTTCTGGTGATTTAACAACTGTCTAACACTAAAACCTCTTTCAGATACGTCCGTATGTCAATGGAGCTCTTTATAGCATACTAGCTATCCCGTCTATAAGGGAAGTGGCTAAATCTATGGTGAGCGTAACATTTTTGTAACTGATTATGGTGAATTACTTTAGTGGTGAGGTGCTGCAATGTGCAGCCAGTAACCTCCTTGCCAGGTGGTCATTTCTCTTTATTAACCATAAGACTAATCTGACTTTTTAGTCTCAGATTGAATTAGAATCAAGTTATTATCAAAAAAAGATTTGATGAAGTTGATTTCTATGCTTTCTTTCACCGCTGCCCAGGGGATGGAAGAGATTTTAAAATGTTTTATAAAGAAAGACCAGCCGGACATGAACCGACAGGTTGAGTTCATCATCAAACAACTCAACTCAAGTGAGTGGCATAGACACTGGCTTTGTTTTTTTTTTTTTTTTTTCCTTTTTCATTGTTAGCCTCAATCCACACCTGGAAATAAAAATAAATGAAATTTTGAAATTCATTGCTTAAAGATAATATAATTTATCAATGTGCTTCAAATTTTTTTTTTTTTGAATTTAAATATTTCTTGCCATTTGCTTGATGGGCCAACAAGGCATGTGGGAGCAGGTATAAGGGGAGTTCATGGGTAAAAAGTTAACTTAGTTAGAAATTGAAGGCTCAAATAATTTAAAATTAACTTTAAAAAAAAAAAAATTCTTATTGAAAAGCTAACTGATTTAGAAATTGAGGCTGAAATAATTCAAACTTGGCTATATAAATAATTTCCTATTAAAAATGTAACTTTCATATTATTTTTTTTCTGATCTCTGTTCATTGTTTAGATGTGTTTCCATTTATTGCTGGCTTGTGTTTAGCAGATGAAAATGGAGAGAATTATGATTCTGATGAGGAGGAGGAAGATGAGGATGAGGAGGAGGATCAGGAAATGCTTGAAGCTGACCTTGACAAGGATGAGGTTCTACGACCCCAACAAGGAGAACTGACCGGGGAGAGGCTTTTGGCACAGTTTAGTTTGGCACGACCACCAAACACTGCATCTCGTATGAGGAAAAAGGTTGGCAGAGTCTTGTCCTTTTCCTCTGATAAAACTTTAAAAGTTATTATTTTAAAGATATTTTTAGGACAGAAGAAAAGTAGTTTTGAAGTGTAGGGATAGAGAAACACTAGCATTGAAATGTAAGGATAAAAGAACACCGGTATTGTTGTGTAGGGTAGAAGAACACTGGTACTGAGGTGTAGAAGAAAGCTAGTACTGTATTGAACTTTTGAACATCATTTGAGCAACTTTAAATGAAATCATTTGAAGAATTTACATGTTAATAAATGTGCAACAAAATTGCTATAGTTTGGAAAAAAAATTAGAGCTTTCTGTATTGCTATAATAAAACTTTGTATTTGCAATTAAAAAAATTAATTAATTTTTGAGCAGGATAAACCTTACTTATTTGTAATTGGTACATTTTTTTCGACTGTGGAGAAAAAAAAAAAGTGGAAGCTACCTCTCAAACCAGTTTTAATAAGCACATGCCTAGCTGCTTTCCTCCCATATTATTTAAGTGCATGGCAAGGATTTAACTTAAATTTTTAATATCCATTTTCTAGTTGGCAGGGGATGAGCCCTTAAAGAGACCAGTAACACCTGGCAGCCGCAGAGTTTTTGACCATGGCCACACTAATGTCAATAATAACAACATGGTCAGGTGGGTAAATTCTTAAGGTGGATAATATGACCATTTGGGTTGGATGTCAAGAGGGAAAAAAAATAATTAAATAATCCTGTCCTTCCTAATGTTTTTAAGTGTTATTAATGTTGGGAGGTAATACTTGAATTTTAAACTATCAACTTGAGCCGGAGGAATCTTATATGGAAGGATATGATGGCATCAAAAGACTTATTGGCAACAGAAAATGCAAGCTTCAGCGTAGGCCTACATATTTAGGAGGGACGGGAAATCGCATACATTTTTTGAGGCAACATTTTGTTGTTTTCTTTCAAATTTAATTTCTAAAATCCTGTGGCAGGTTCTACTTAAATGCCTGTTGTGATTAACTTAAATCTAGAAAAACAACTCCAAAATGAAGTGATAAATATTGCTATAGGACACTCACATTATAAATGTTCCATGCTAACAAAATAAAAGGAAGGTTACAGTTTCTATGTTATCTCACAAAAACTTGTTTATTGCAATGGGGGGGGGGGGGGGGGTTTGTTGTAATTTTTCTCTATTTTTTTTTTTTTTTTTTTTTTTTGGTATTCAGGGAACAAGATATCTTGAAATTTCCATTTATGAAATAACAATGAGGAAAACTCAATTTATGCCTGGTTTTTATTTTACACATGGCTCTGTCCCCTTGAGCAATTAGAATTCGCTTAGATTGAGCCTATTTGTAAGTTAATGTTAATAGTGTAGTATAGCGGCTATTTTTGGGGAGGAGGGTTAACACTGACTAAAATTTGTCCTATTTGCCGAGGAAGGCTCTTAGCTGAAAACTTCACATCTTATTATCCTGTCTTTTGATCCAAGCCTCCATATACCTTGTTCTACTATTTAATTCCAACAGCTTTAACGCAGTCCTTCATTTATTATCCTAACGTTATCGAGTATCAAATTTGGATTTTTTAAAAACCAGATGTCTATTCCTAAATAGCTGGAGTCTTAAAACATTTAACTGAATCAATCAGAAAATCTTGAATGTTTATAAAACTGGAACGTTTGAAACATTTCTTCTTTTTGATTGTGTCCCATCAGGAGGAATACAACTGGCTCACTGCACTCTCAGCAAGAAACCAGTACTGGCATTGTCAGACCTCCAACTAGAAGCGGCAGTCGGCCAGCCTCACAAGAAAGTGCTTCAAGTAGGTTGTTTGGTGTCAGTTGATGCTGTCGGTCAACGGTCGATGTTGATCTCCTTTGACATCAGTAGTTGTCAGCTATTGAGCTAATGCCAGTTTTTTTGGTGTCAATTGATGTTTGTTGTTGGTTGTCAGTTGTTGTCGTCAGATCTTGGTGTCATCTAATGGCTTTTTAAGCCTTAAAGCCATTGAAAGAGGCTGGCACACTTCTGTTTTTGATTTGAATCTGATTTAGGTCTTCACTCTTAACAACTTATGTTTTTAAAGCTGACCTATTGGCTACTTCAGCAAAGTTGAAAAAAAAATAATGATATAGTTTTCTCAAGATGCAAGAGAGATATCACAAGATTTTAAATCAATGGAAAGATGTTTTGTTTTGCTGTTTGATGATGTTGAAAAAATAAAACTGTCCTGAGTACATTTAGCAATGCAAAAAACAGCTCATGACAAAGATGTTTGCGTGTGTACCCCAACATTTCATTATCATATTCCATACCCGTATAGTTGTTAAGCAGATATCCATCAGCTAGCAACAATAAGCAAAAATTTTTATTATAAATAATCCCCCCCCCCCAAAAAAAAAAAAAAAGCCAGGTCTAGGATACCACCACTTGATCTCTTCCTGTCATCCTCTGACTGGGATATCAGTTACCAACCTTTGACCTCACCATTTTTGGATGTGCTCACATCAAGAACTATAAGCTCCCAGTTTGCTTCTTTATTTGATCCAGTTTATTGAGTTAAATTTCAAAATAGTTTTTCCTGGCTATTTTCTCAGGTTTTTGTGTGTTGCAGTGTTTTATTCCTAGTTATCATTGAATTCTTTTGGATTCATATTGGATTATTTTAGTATAGACTCTTAACTGGTTTCATGATCCCCCACAACCCTTAGCATCAAAAACAATAATTTCTACTATATGAATAATGTTTAAAGTTACCAGTAAAACAAATCACTTTGATAGAGAATTATACTTTAAATATTTTTTACCCTTATTTTGAACAGAATGGATTGAAAATTAGACTAAACATAATTTTGGAAAAATCACTTTTACTTTAGCTATTTATGTTCCAAACTTAAATTTAGAAAATAACAAAACGCTGTCATTCTTTTAAAGAGGTAAATGGAGGCAAACAGCTCTCTTATAAAATATCATTGTAAATGTGGCGATATTCAATTCACATTACAGATGCTGATGTGCGACCATCTAGTCAAAAGAGTAACAGGGCCTTCAGGCCATCAACAAAGGCCATGGAGAAGATAGGGACAGGGGCCAAGTGAGTAAATGTAGTCAAATAGGAGCTTGATCCGGTTTGAAGAGTTATCTTTGTTTTAAGCTTCACTCTAATGTTCAAACAATGAGTGATCGAGAAGACGGGATGTGATACTTTTTGTCACCACGATAGAGAGGGCAGGATTATTTTTTGTCACCACGATAGAGAGGGCAGGATTAATTTTTGTCACCATGATGGAGAGGGCAGGATTAATTTTTGTCACCATGATAGAGAGGGCAGGATTAATTTTTGTCACCATGATGGAGAGGGCAGGATTAATTTTTGTCACCATGATGGAGAGGGCAGGATTAATTTTTGTCACCATGATGGAGAGGGCAGGATTAATTTTTGTCACCATGATGGAGAGGGCAGGATATAGAAGATGGGGATGCAATGTTGTTCACATTTTGTAGGTGGGGAGCACAGCAGATGGCAGTTTATCCCAATAATGAGCGGTTTCACATTTATTCAATATAGTTTGCTATCTACATAGATCAATAAAGTTTAAACTTACCACCAATTAATTCTCTGATGTAAGGTATGAAACTCTGTCAGCACTGGTGCCAGGACTACATCAGGTTATGTGTTCATGAATTTATCTGTAATTTGACCTAAACCTAATTTCTGAAAAGTTTGATACATTGAGATTTCAAAATGGTTCCTCCCAGCCATTGAGAAATAATAATTTAGTGGATTCCCATCAAAGGGGATTTTAGTTTGCACAGCAGGTTACTTGAGACACTGCAACATTTGCAGGTTGAACTTAGTGTCATTGGAACACCCACCTCATTTGATTCAAGTACTTATTTTTTCTAAAGCAAAAGTCAAAGTGGACAAATTTCTCATTGGCTAAAAATCCTTCAGACGTCAAGAAAGTAAACTAATTGCATTTCAATTCTAGTGTTAATGAATACAGAACTGCATTTGGAGCCAAGCCTAAAATCCCAAGGACACCTGAGCCGGGAGCCTTGTCAGGAAGTCGAACAGCCAGTCGTGGATCTATCAAAGATTTACCTCCCCAGCCCCAGTACTCAGAGTCAGGCCCCAGGCCCAGCTCGGCAGGGAAGACAAGTGGTGGGTAACTGAACAAACGTGAACAATTATAGTAAATAAAAGCTGATGCAGTCTTTATACATTTGTTATGGCTCACTACCAAATCTTGTTAAAGCTCAAGCACTAACCATCTTTTGTTTAACTCCAGTGTCATCTTTATTTTATCAACAAAGGAGATATGATTGCCTGTGTATCTGATAAGGGACCTGAACATGTTTAAATCAGGAAGCCCTAACTAGTACATACAGGTTTGAAAGCTATCTATATTTATGTCCCCAGCCCCGGGGAGTCCAAGGAAAGGATCTTTAACAAGTACAGGCAAGCCAAAGACACCTAGTCAGTTGTAATGAGATTTGACGTTGCATATAAATTATCACCAGTGCGAATGACATTCTTGGATCTAAAAGTTGAGGAGATCAAAACTTCTTCTTAATGAAATGGTCGTTTTGGTTTTTCTAATAATATATGAATGTTAGGAGCCTCAAGTCCAACAGATGCACCTCAGTCATCATCTGTCAGTTTCCGGTAGGGAAAAAGACTGGAAAAAAAACAAACTAGTGTCTTTTCTTTTTGGCTAACTTGACTATTAGAGTTTCATGTGCAGCAAGGCATTTTGTTCAGATGTGAATTTTTAACAAAATGTCTTGTAAAATGTTATGTGAGGAACAGTACAGTGACTTGTTATTTTGATCTTTATTTGCAGACCTCTTTGTTGAATCTACTTTTTGCCATAACTGTCCTAAATATTGTTTTGTCACACCCTTGTTCCTGGTAGCTTTAATGGCACAAATAATCTGTGTTTTGTAGTTCTGTTAAATGTTCGAACTTCATCATACATTTTTTAAATAATCACCCCTCTAGATGCAAACAATAATTTACTTTGCATCTGTTTATGATTGTATACATTGCTGGTAGTCCCAAATGTATATTTTTTTATCTGTTGTGAAATGATTTTTTAAGAATGTATTGATCACATTATTAACCCTCTTGAGATGAAGCCTTTTTTTTGGACTGTCATTGCCAAGAAGATGGAGATTTTTTTTGGACTGTCATTGCCAAGAAGATGGAGATTTTTTTTGGACTGTCATTGCCAAGAAGATGGAGATTTTTTTTGGACTGTCATTGCCAAGAAGATGGAGATTTTTTTTGGACTGTCATTGCCTACTGTCATTGCCAAGAAGATGGGGATTTTTTTGGACTGTCATTGCCAAGAAGATGGGGATTTTTTTGGACTGTCATTGCCAAGAAGATGGAGATTTGTTTTGGACTGTCATTGCCAAGAAGATGGAGATTTTTTTGGACTGTCATTGCCAAGAAGATGGGGATTTTTTTTGGACTGTCATTGCCAAGAAGATGGGGATTTTTTTGGACTGTCATTGCCAAGAAGATGGAGATTTGTTTTGGACTGTCGATGCCAAGAAGATGGGGATTTTTTTGGACTGTCATTGCCAAGAAGATGGAGATTTGTTTTGGACTGTCGATGCCAAGAAGATGGAGATTTTTTTGGACTGTCATTGCCAAGAAGATGGGGATTTTTTTGGACTGTCATTGCCAAGAAGATGGAGATTTTTTTGGACTGTCATTCCCAAGAAGATGGGGATTTTTTTGGACTATCATTGCCAAGAAGATGGGGATTTTTTTGGACTGTCATTGCCAAGAAGATGGAGATTTTTTGGACTGTCATTGCCAAGAAGATGGAGATTTTTTTGGACTGTCATTGCCAAGAAGATGGAGATTTTTTTGGACTGTCATTGCCAAGAAGATGGGGGTTTTTTTGGACTGTCATTGCCAAAAAGATGGAGATTTTTTTGGACTGTCATTGCCAAGAAGATGGGATTTTTTGGGCTATCATTGCCAAGAAGATGGGGATTTTTTTGGACTGTCATTGCCAAGATGATGGGGCTTTTTTTGGACTGTCATTGCCAAGAAGATGGGGATTTTTTTGGACTGTCATTGCCAAGAAGATTGGGCCTTTTTTGGACTGTGGGTGCCAAGAAGAAGGCCTGCACAAATGATCTCATTACTTTACAAATATAAAACTGTACATATTCTTGTAAGGAATTGATTGAACTAAAACTAAAACAATCTTTACGAATCAAATTGAAATCTCAACATTTATGCAAATGAGACATCCTGATTTGCATTATTTATGTAAGCAATTTTTTTTTTTTAACACTTAAAATAAACATGTCTTACTTGCAGAATTGTGTTAAATTTTATGATTGCCGAAGCCTGAATAAGTCCTAACAAACATTTGAATGAGATTCAATGTGAAAAACTGCATATTCGTGCCCTGGGGCTACTTATGCCTTTTGGCATATTTCAAGGTCACATTTTTTAAGCATTTATAGTTATAAGGGCGCTAGGTAAAAGAATTGATAAAAAAATGACAAAACAGTATAAAATATCAATGGAAACCGCCATTAAAATTGCGAGATAAGCAAGAAATACGAGAAGCAATCCGAAGACCAGCCAGCCAAGCTCAAGGCCCATAGATTGTCCCTTTGACTTTTTCACCATTACACTCTCAAGAGGGTTAATAACTTTAACAATTGACCTACTCAATTAAAAACTGTTGTGCTGTTCCTTTTCAAAATGTATGTCATGTTATGTTAAAGAAAATATCTTACTCCATCCACAGAATCTGTGCCACAAAACCAATTGTCTCATAACACTTAACATTACATCATTGTAATAGCTTGTTTACTTGACCTTACTCTTATATCTATCTCAGCGGTAAAATGCTGGTGTTACAATCAACAGTTTGCACTGGCTTTTTATCCAGAGCATATTTTAGCATTTACAATTATTAACACCATGACCAATATACATGTCACTGGTTTCATTTAATATTTTTCTTATTACTTCTTATTTGTTGTAACAATGTTGTATCTTTAAGAGAGCCTTAAAACATGTTCAGCACATTTCTAAATATTTTTAACTACAAGTACAAGAATTAGATGTTGCAAATTTATGTCATGGATAAAATAAAAAGGAACCAATATTTTAAAAATATCTATGAATATAAAAATAAAGCATTGGAAAGGTTATAAATATCTTTAAGGTCCACAACTGCTAAAATTGTTAAAACTCAGTCTTAACTTTGATTTATTCAGTTTTTTGAGTGATGACAGAGTGTTGTATGTAGCCTGCAAATGCCTTGCCTGCTGCTATTTTGTACAGGGCAATTAAAGTTGTACTTTAGAAAAGCTGAGTTATTGGAAGTATTATGTACTTCTTTAATAAATTGAAAAAAAAAGTTCAAAATATTTAGCAGAGACAATGGCTAGAGACAGAGTCATAAGAAATAATTTTATTGTCAGGGAATGTTAATTTATTTAAACCTACAACAATAAGGCACAATTAGGATGACTAGATCTATTTATATTTTTAAACTGATGTTTTGAAATTCAGAATTTATGAAGCCATAAAAATAAATGAAATAAATTCACTTTCTTATTATTCAAATAATTGTAAAAGAAATATAATATAAGAACAATGTGTGCTAGACTTGAATTCATTGACAGGACAAAAGATTTTGATGTTTCGGCTTAGAGCCTTCATCAGAAAACAAGCCAAAAAGAAGTATAACAAGTATCATGTCACAGTAAAATAACTTTAGAGATTTCCTTTTGTTCTCATTATTTTGTAATCATTACTCTGCTTATCAGATGTATTATTTATATAATAACACTATATTGTTAGTTGTTAATATTTTATTTAAAAAACAACAACTCAAATATCTTAGGAAAAGGATTTGTTTCTTGTATACTCTGGAGAAGTTAATGCTCCATACCAGAGGTAGGCAACATTTGTTCTGTTAATGCTCCATACCAGAGGTAGGCAACATTTGTTCTGTTAATGCTCCATACCAGAGGTAGGCAACATTTATTCTGTTAATGCTCCATACCAGAGGTAGGCAACATTTATTCTGTTAATGCTCCACACCAGAGGTAGGCAACATTTATTCTGTTAAGGGTCAAATTACAATATTTGAGGCAATGCAGACCAAGAGGCAAAATTAATTGGAAAGGGGAGGGTTACTGATACCTCTATTTTACCCAGGTCTCCACATTTTGGGGCAAATGATGAGTACCGCCCCCTTGATATTAGACACATGATTTTTTAACGTATTTTGTTTGGGATGTAACCAATTTAGGCTGGGGGATTAGCACATGTTAATGTAAGTGAGAGAGCTGCTGAAATGAAACCATGTAGAGGCTCTTAGTGGCCCTTCAGGCAGCATGCTAAGGAGTAGATTAGGGAGCTCCATAAAAAGTTCAAATAATTATGAAGAATTTAATCTATAAATTCATTTTTAGCTTCCAAGACATACAGGAAAGATTTGGCCAACAAGTTTTCAGATATCTTAAAAAGAGATATATATATATTTTTACAATTAAGATGGAATCGTTTGAAAAAAAAATATTTTGTATTAAAGCTTTTATTAACGTCTAAAATTTGTTTTTGGCTTTTTAAAACTGTCTTCATGTTAACTTGTAATGTACAAAAAAATTGCCAAAATCTTTGAGCTAGCGTTCATATTAATACTGATCCATTGATCTAATTAAAATTTTAGCATCTATTGAAAATGTTACCTGTAAGTTACCAGTTAATAATTATCAATAATCGTAACATCACAAAAATAAATGGAACAAATTATTAGGTATTATGACATGTTTAATCAAATAATAAACATTGTTCAGTTATCAATCAATACATTTAAATAATTATTTAATCAGTTAAAAAGAGACGGAGCAAGACCATTCATAACCTATGTTTATGATATAAAAACTAATCACATTTTGTTTTTAAGTAGGGTTCTCAAGTAGGCTAATGATGTGAAGGAACCCACAAATAATTGCACATTGCATGGTTAAACAAAAAAAAACAAACAAACTATTTACACATTTCTTTTTTCTTTACACAAAATAATATTAAAAAAAAGTAGTTGATAAGAAAGTGAGTAGTTCAGGCATAAGGTTGGAACATATATTGAGAAAAAACAAACAGAACTGAAGAAATTTAAAATAAATTAGTTATTTTCTCAAGCAAACAATTTTGAGGACATCATTAAATTTTTTATTTGTTATTTAATAAATTATTTATAAATGCAACAAGCCTAAGCTGAGTAATCCCACAGTGGCATGATCAGATTATTGAATACAATTTTAGCAAGTGGCTTGTCACATTCATGAATTACAACAATACTACCCTCCTTTTACATATTATAGTAAGTACTTTTGATAGCATTATATTAAACCATGAATTACAATACTACCCTCCTTTTACATATTATAGTAAGTACTTCTGATAGCATTATATTAAACCATGAATTACAATACTACCCTCCTTTTACATATTATAGTAAGTACTTCTGATAGCATTATATTAAACCAAGAATTACAATAGTACTCTCCTTTTACATATCGGGATTTTGACTGCACCATGATGAAAATTAAACTAACACAATGTCTCAAAATCTACAGATCCTTGGGACAGATATATCTAACATTGGGACTGTTGGTGTAGACTGACAGAAGAATTTAATGGAAGAATGGAAGTGATTTAACCTTATACAACAGATACAACAGCAGATACATTCAATGACACATGACTCAACATGACATTATCGGCATTCAACTTATGCTATCTTCCATAGACTTCATTAGTTTTTTTTTTGTACTAATGAAATAAAATGCGGATAAACACAAGTATCATGATTTAAAGTTTTGTGTGTGTGTGGCCATCTTATATTCTCTTACTTAATTTTGAAAATCAAATTAACAAAATAAATAGGCTATTAAGATGCTGAAATCAAATGAGCACACACAAAGAAGTCTGGCATGCAAGTCAAATGATGTAGCCTTGATAATTGATAAAATGCAAATACAAAGAAATGAATTCATTCATGCTTATCAGACCAACAAAAATGAAACCTATTAAATGTATGCACATTCATCACTGGAACAGTACAGAACATGACAGGTAAATACATTTAATAATCCTGTAAGTAAACACCCCCCCCCCCCCCAAAAAAAAAACCCCTCCTCTGCCCAAACAAGACCCTTTCTTCTTCATCAAAATTCACAGAGTG